AGTTGAATATAGACTCTGAGTATGCAGGGACACAGAGGGAGGAGGGAAAATTACTACCATTTAAACTGTTTATTTTAATTGACAGTAGGTCCCCCAGCTTGGAAAGCCACAGGATGGAAAGAAAAGGTGACCAGGTAGGCTAGAAGTCACTTTCTAAATACTGGATATTTGACCACAAGGAGCCAGCCACCACACACTGTGGCACCACTGCCTCCAAGGCTGCTGGCTTGGCACTTCTGAAACCCTAATGACTTGCCAGGAAGTCTGGGTTTAGTTTTGGTTGCGTGTGCTTTCTCATGTTTCTCTCTCTCTCATCCATTTGGCAGCAACTGTCTAACAGGTTAATACACAACAATAGTCACTTGTATTTTCTTATACGGGAGAGGTAAATTATGGCACTTGAACAAAGACCTTATTATCTAAGTTTTGCTGCATGTTTACTACACACCAGTTTCAATTTTATGCTTTTGTCCCTAGGTCTTAACACAAAGGAAAATACGTTCATGTTCATATTAGAAGGGGCTATTCAAAAAAAAAACAACAACAACAACAGCAGGCTAAAAACAGTACTTATTATAGGTTGAACTGTGTCCCCCCAAAAAATTCATACATTGAAGCCTTGACCTCCAGTATCTCAGAATGTGACCTATGTGAAAATAGAGTCATTGCACACGTAATTAGTTAAGATGAGGTCACACTGGAATAGAGTGGCCCTTAATCCAATATTACTGGTATCCTTATGAAAGGGGGAAATTTGGATACAGAAACATACATGGGGTGAATGCCAGGTAAAGACGAATGCAGAGACTGCAGTGGTGTTTAAACAAGCCAAGAAACACCAAATATTGCCAGCAAACTGCTAGAAACTAGGTGAGAGACCTGAGCCAGATCCCTCCCTCACAGCCATCAAAAAAGAAGCCAACCCTGCTGATACCTTGATATCAGACTTCCAGCCTACAGAGCTGAGAGCCAATAAATTTACATTATTTGAATCACCCAATCCATGGTACTTTGTTATGGCAGCCCTAGGAGACCAACACTGAACCCACAAGAATCAAGAAAGAGGCAACCAAAAGGGCAGGGAGGGCTGGTGGGAAAGTCTGGAAGAATGTTTTCCTATGCTTTGCACCTGCAGCTGTCAGGAACCCCAATACTCTTCAAGCCCACCACACTGGCCTCCTTTGGGCTCCATCATCCATTGCTCTCCCATCCACCCTATCCCTCACATACTCGTTCAATGTAAATCCCCTAATATTAGATGCCAGTTCAACCATCACTTCCTCAGAAAGTCCCTCATGATTCCTCAAGCCTACCTCAGACCCCGCTGTTAGAAACACCCTGAGCCCACCGTTCTCTTCCCTCTCAATCACCATCATGACAGCTCCTCATGTCCTTGTCTTTAATAGTGACAACAGACTCTGTAGGATCCACGAGGACAGGAACACAACTGCTCTGCTCACCATGAGCACACTGCCTTTGAGTGGTTGATGTGGAATACATATTTGCTCATAGATTAAAATTCAGCTTTGCTGGGTTTCTAATTTCACAGGTCACAGGGTTCCAGGAGACATGCCAATGCCCTGAAGATGTCTGAAACATACATGTCAAAACTATCCTCTTTGTCCTCAGTTGGTCCCTCTGTCTTCAGACATGGCATGCCCATGGGCTCTAGTCTCCCACACTGTCAGCCAAAAGCCACTACTGGCCATTCCTCTGCAGAACCATGGAGGCTCTCCCTTCCCCTACACACTTCTCAAACTCATCACTGCCATTCATCCCATCCATATCATCTGTGCAATGCCCTTGGTCTTCCTGCCCCCACATCTAGGAAGCAATACATCCAGCACACCAGGGAAGTCTGGCTATGTTACTCCTTACTTAAAATCAAGCCCATTCCCACTGCCTATCCCAAAGATTTCTTTTTTAAAAAACCAGAAATCCAAACTATGCAAGGGATTACCACAGAACTGTCTGGTTTCGGGGTGGGGGAGCTATGAAAAGATGTGGGAGAGACAAGGCTCCTCCCATGCAATGGCCTCCCACTCCCTGTGTCACCCTCCTGCCCCACCCCTTAGCTAACCTCAAGGCATCTCCACGCAACCAAGGGCTCTTCACAGCAGTTTGGAAACCACAGGCTCCTCTGATTAAACCTAAACTTTTAGTCAAGGCCCTCCACTTAACTATCACCTCCATTCCCAGAAACCTAACCAAATGAAAACAAATTTCCTTATGTGAGCATTTCATATCCTGGTTCCCTATCATATTTATCCACTCCCTCATTCATTCATCAGACAACTGTTGATGTTCTAGCAAGTTTCCTAGGGTTATAGAGCCAAGTCTTTCCCTTCAAGAAATAGCAATGCAGTAGATGAGAGTTGTGTCCAACAATATATGTAATAATAGCAGTAGTAATAATAAAAATAACAGGCAATATCTAACACAGGCAGCACTGATGTAAGTATTCTATATAAGCATTAGCCTTCTGAACAACCCTATAGGTAGATTCCTGTAATGATCTTAACTTTAAGGATAAGGAAACAGAGTCTTATGGAGGTGAGTTCAGGCCACACAGAAAGAATCAAAGCAATTATTAGAAACCAAGTGTTCTGGCCAAGCTCAGTGGCTCACACATGTAATCCCAGCACTTTGGAAGTCCAAGACAGGAGGGTCTCTTGAGCCCAGGTGTTTAAGACCAGCCTAGGTAACACAGCAAGGAAAAAAAAGAATAAAAAGTTAGTCAAGCATGGTGATACACACCTGTAGTCCTAGTTACTCGGGAGGATTGAGATGGAAGGATAACCTGAGCCTGGGAGGTCAAGGCTGAGGTAAGCCATGAGTCTACCACTGCACTCCTGCCTAGGTGATAGCGTGAGACTCCAAATCCAAAAAAAAAAAAGTTATAAAAAAAGATGCTCTGTGTTCCTTTAGGTGATGGTCAGTTCAATGTGATCACAAGAGAAGACACGGAGAGGATTCATTTCCTCACAGGTCCTAGAGACAGCAGGCACACACACCGTGCAGGGCCACAGGAGGGTGGTAAGAGGCAGAAGGACAGGAGCAAGGGGAGAGCTGAGGCCAAAGCCTATACTGGAGTTTCCAGGAAAGGCAAGACAGGGTAGGGTGAACAGTTTAAGACTGGCTAGTTTGAATCATTTCAGTGGGTTGTGGACTGTGGAGGTGGTCTCTAGTTGCCCGGTGCCTGGCCTTGGGAAGATTAGGGCAGAGGAACATAGACCCTTGGGGTACTGGGACCAGAAGTACAGGTGTAGCTCAAGACTGGTTAGTCTGCATATCAAAAGTATGCTCCTGGTCTGGCCCCGGCTATCTGTAAGAATTGACTAGCCCCAAGAAAGGCAGTCTCTCCCAGCCTGAAAGGTTTCTAAGATGTCAAAATATCACAATGTGGAAGAAAATAAAAAACCTAACACACCAGACTAGCTGACTTCAAACCTTCAATCACTGTGCCTGCTGCATCCCCAGTGCAGCAACCCCACACAGCGAGGCTGGGCAGAAGACATAGGGCATTTGGAAGGTTAGGAAAAGGGCAGCATTTGAGGCAAGCAAATAAAAAGAAAAAAAAAATAGTAGAAACTGCAAGAGGATAAGGATGGAAAAAGAGCTTTCCAGGCAAAGGGACTGACCATTGAAAAGACAACCTGGGCAGTGCAGTCAGTTGCAGTGTCCCAATGTCACCAGAATCAGGGTCATGGGAAGTACAGAAGATGAGAATGGAGATGAGGGCAGAGGATCAAAGGCAGGGCAGGAATCCCCAATTTCCAATTAGGTATATTACGACAGCATGAATAGATCTGCATTTTAGCTCAGTTTCTCAAGGGTTTATTAAATACTAAGATAACCTCAGCATACACATAATAGAAACATTTAGAACCCAGAATATATCAAGAAGTCCTAAATACGAATTCAAGAGACAACCCAATGGAAATACAGTCCATCTCTGCATCCAGATCCAACCAACTTCAGATGGAAAATATTAGAGGGAGGAAAAAAACCAAACAATACAATTAATAACTACAGTGTAAAAACTATTTATATAATATTTACATTGCATAAGTAACTGTGTAAGTAATCTAGACATGATTTAAAGTATAAGAGAGGACTGTAGTCCTAGCTACTTGGGATGTTGAGGTAAGAGGATTACTTGAGCCCAGGAGTTCAAGGTCAGCCTGGGCAACATAGTGAGACCCTATCTCTAAACATAAATAAATAAGAAAAGTATACAGTTCATAGGTTATATGCAAGTACTATAGCATTTATCTGGGACTTGAGCATCCATACAAGTTCCTGGAACCAAGGACCCAGAGGTACCATAGGACAAGTGTACCGGCAATTGCATGAACAGGTGTGTTATAGAAGATGAAACACAAATTGCCAGTAATCACACAAAAGATGCTAATTCATTAGAAATCAGGACAAAGGAATTTTAAACCACAAGATAACATTTTACACCCACTAGATTAGCTAAACTTAAAAACCTGTCAAAACAAATAACGAGAGGGAACCCCCCCAAAAAAACAGAATTTCTATATAAAAAATTGTGCATTTATTCTTACATATTTAAACTTTAGTCGTCTTGAAAGTACTCTCCGTTTGATGCAATACAGCTACCAAGGCACTTTTCCACTGCTCAGAACAGTTTTTGAACTTGTCAATTTTGATGTCTTTTAGTGCTTCTGCCGTTTTTTGTTTCACCTCTCCCACATAGGCAAAATGTTTCCTTTTGAGAACTTTTTTCATCCAGAGAAACAACACCAACAAAAAAAGTCACTCAAGGTAAGATCAGGTGAATAGGGAGGGTGGGGCATGGAGGACATGCTATTTTTGGTCAAAAAGTGTTGAACACTCAGCACTCTATGCAGTGTGGGCAGATGTACTCAGACATCACCCATCATGAAATGGGCAAACGCATTGAAAGAATCTCCAAAAAAAGATTCACTGGGTTCTGGAGACAAAAAGGGCAGCAATGGCTTGAGCAGGACAGGCCTGGCACTGGAGGGAGTGGAGCAGCTTGGGCAGCAAGCGAGATGCAGCACCAAGGTTTCTTCCTTCTCGCCCTCCCCACCCTGCTGGCACTCACTTCCACAGTGGCCAAAAAGAGAGACAAGGTGAAGAAGGACTGCCCGGGCAGTGAGTGCACAGAGTGGACGTGGGGGCCCTGTACCCCCAGCAGCAAGGACTGTGGCGTGAGTTTCTGTGAGGGTACCTGTAGGGCCCAGATCCAGCACATCCGGTGTAGGGTACCCTGCAACTGGAAGAAGGAGTTTGGAGTCAAGTACAAGTACAAGTTCGAGAACTGGGGAGCATGTGATGGGGGCACAGGCACCAAGGTCTGCCAGGACACCTCAAGAGAGCATGGTACAACACCCAGTGCCAGGAGACCATCCATGGGACCAAACTCTGCACCCCCAAGACCAAAGCTACAGCCAAAGCCAAGAAAGGGAAAGGAAAGAACTAGAGGCCAGGCCAGGATGTGGAGAAGCCCCTGGCTTTACTTGGGGCCTGGCCCACACCCTCCCTCCCTCAGGCCCGGCCCACCAGTGCCTTCTGTCTACTCTTAGCTTTATCAATCATGCCCTGCCTCCCTGCTTCCCCAACCCCACCATTAAGTGCCCAAAGTAAGAGAAATAAGTGGTTTTGGAAAGCTGGAGCCACCCCCAAGAAGGATTTGACTCTCAGGACCCCCCTTCTGTTCTTCTCCACAATGATACCATTACTAAGAAACAAATAAAATAAACGTTACTCCCTTCCCACCCCTAAAAAAAGATTCAGTAAAACCAAATGCAATCTTTCACAACAACGCTAGGTGGTAAACTGATGCCAATGGGTTCCCAGAATATTAACCTAGCAGAGAAAGCCTATACTACAAGGGGTTAACAGTTTCTTCGGGGTTCCCCTTTGTATTAACAAAGATGTTAGTAAGAAGACATATTTTGTACACTGCTGGTGGGGCTGTGAATTGGCAAAACCACTTTACAAGATAACAGTCAATTATTTTCCAACATTGAAGATGCTCATACCCTAAGATGTAGGATATACCCTGGCAACATGGTTAAGTTACTAAATAAGTGTGGTGATAGGAACACATAAAAGATAAGCAGAGTCAACAGTTACAAGGCAAGAGGAAGGAAAGAGCCCAGTTAACTGAAAAATGATAAAAACTGGGTGAATTGATTTGGTGAGAAAAAGGTGGTATTTAGTTTTGGGCATTTTGGGTCTCAGGCATTAAGAAAATACTCCAATGAACATGTCCAGTAGGCAGCCTATGGTCATTTAAGATAGGATTTTATTAAATTACATAACCACTAAAGGACTCTGTGCTCCAAAGTTCCGTGATTCTATAATAGCATCAGAAAAGGTCAAGCTCCATGGCTCCTTCAAGTATTCTACTACAATTAACTTCTTCCACTCTTCACATTCTCGAACACTCAAGCATGCCTTTTAACAATAGCCTTTCCCAAAATATCTTTATAGTATGGCTGTTTTTTTTCTTGGTTCTTCAACTACACAATAGGTTCCTGTAAGGTTATAAAAATGTGTTAACCCTCTTTCCTCAAACTGCCTTCTATACAGTGTTGGTCATACAGCACTAGTCCATTCTCACCCCCTTCCCCCAAATGGAGCAGTTAAATATCAAGTCTTCTCAAAGATAAATTTTCAGCCAACCTTATGGAGAGATAATGGAAATTAATTAGCAGAGAAGAAGAAAGAGATAATTTTGTTAGAGGGAATGGTGTGTCCAAAGGGTTTGAAGACTGGAAAAGGAAATCACCAATATACCTGGTACATTGTTAACTGACACTGAAAATAACAGTCTCATTTGACATAAATTTAAATTAAAATACACATTCTTTTTTTTTTTTTTTTTTTTGAGATAAAGCCTCATTCTGTTGCCCAGGTTGGAGTACAGTGGCACAATCATAGCTCAATGCAGCCTTCAACTCCTGGGCTCAAGCAATCCTCCCTCCTCAGCCTCCCACAGTGCTAGGTCTATAGGCATGAGTCACTGCACCTGACTCTTAAATGTATACTTTCTTATGATATCTTAGAGTCAAAAGCAGTATTTTGGAATAAAGAGAAAAACAGCACTATTCAAAAATGGTTTGGTTTTGATTAAACCTTCAAAAAAAGTTACTAGTTACCCAAAATGCAAGAATGATAGCTGAAACAAATCATGAAGATGATCAAAAATAGTAATCATTTAAACCCTTGACACAGCAGACTCTGCCAAGAGGAGAAAACTAATACCAGCTTGCTTACACTCACACACACATCAAGAGTCCCTAATTTCAGTGGTACCTGACATTTGTTGCCAGACCAGAAGAAATACATGAGACTCTGAACCTTAAATTTCCAGTGACTTGGGTCAAAAGGATATTTTGATAAAATTCCAACTGGGGGAGGAAAGGCCTAGACAGAAGACTCCTATACTGCTGAAAGCTTAGCATTAATTATCTCTAGTTTGGTGTGAGACACTGGAAACCTCTGCATCATTCCCAGACTGTTACTCTGAATCTTCTACATTTATCAGTTGATTCCCTCCCCTCCCCACATACATGCCACCAACATCCATCAAGTGAGAACAGCAACAAGCCTGCAATTTTCACAGGGATTCATTTCATAATGAGATGTTTACAAAGCAGATTGTGTTACAAAACATAGAATTTACTCTTCAAGTTTCTCAAAACAACATAAAGATGTATCCAAGTCTAGTAAATGCTTTAAATTTAGAGCAATTCCCTGGATAATTCAGCAACTTAGAAATGAAAAGTAGTTACATCTTATGCATAATGAAATAGATGTGTTGCTGACAAATTCTTAACAAAATATTTATATATTGACTCACATTTGAAATATGCTGGGAGTATTCCCTATTTATAAGAATCCTGGGTAAGAGCCTTTATAAAGGTTGTTGTATATTAGAAATTCTCAAAGCAGGCACCCATGCCATGGAATTAAATTCTGCTTCAGTTCAGTGTTTTGAAACACATTTTTACTATTCCTGGAAGTACTTTCACATTTTTGTCAGATGTTGAGTGAGCAACAGAATAAATAACTTTTCAAAAGCATTTTTAGGTAGTAAAATCTTAAGTTCCTTGCTAGAGAGGCTGGTCCAAAATAAATGAAATGCTGGTGTGACTAAGTTGAATGTGGTAAATTCTGATATGCAGTGTGAAAACCTCCAGTTAATAGATCCATTCAGTGATTCAACAAGCACTTCGAAGTCCTAAGTAGGGCAGCAAAGTATAAATATGAGACTTAAAAGCATCCTCTGATTTCTGAGTCTGTGCTCACATCTAAGAAAGTAGTAAGTACTCTTGACAGAAGGTTCTCAAAGACTTGTTATCACACCCTTATGTGTTGCATCAACTTTGTGAAAGAGGAGAAGTTTAGGGGGCTGTGCTTCATGGAAACCCCAGATCTGAATAAGTTCATGGGCGCACCACTCATGGATATGTAGAAATAGTGTAGAAAAGAAGATGAAAGTGTTCTGTCTGGTTTACACTGGAACGTGAGTGTCCCCACACCTTGGATACAACACATAAGGTACTACTGATAAACAGCTTTCCCAGTATTGTTATGAATCATCAGATTAGACTTGGAGAGGGCCCTAGCGATCAATTAAATCTAATTACTTCACCAACAAAGAAATCAAGACCTTGAAGATATAAAACAGAAATTAAAAAACTGCACAACTCTTCTTTGCTCATCCAACATTTAAAGTAATTAAGGGTTTCATCTTAGAATAATTAACTAATAGGGGAAAAAGTAGACAATTATTTTCTTATTAATTAGAAAAATCATTAAAGGGCCAGTAGTTTTGTTTGAAGAGATAATCAGTTTAGTCAATTCCATTTAAATGAATGTAAGGAGAACAAAGCATGATGCTTTTTATTTTTTAATCAAACTGCTAGTAAATACTGCATCATTTATATGTGTTTCCCTCTGTTTAGAAACTCAATAGGTTGACAATTTAACCACCACAAAACTCCAATGAACAGGCACACGCAATAAACATGTATATAAGGATTATGCAAGGTGTCTACCACAGACTGGCTTTTTCAGCCACCTGAATTTCAGGTCATTAAAAGAAACTGTGCAGAGCAGAGCAACTGTCCCAACACAAGCAGCAGCAGAGTTGAAAATACTCCCATGCCAGTTCTCCTGAATCCAGTCTATTTTATGCTCTTGTGTGGATTCAAGGAAACAGAACTACTATTTAAAAGAACATTTACAAAGAAGCCTTTAAAAAGCGTCAAAATAAATTACTTTGAAGTGTACTTCTACAACACGCCTCCAGCTTTCCCTTCTTTTCCTATTTGCTGGTCCACAGAACCCAACTGTGACTATATTTAACTGACTTTACAAGCTGTGGAGAGACTGAGTACACACGGCAGATTCCAACCAGAGCTGTGTGCATTAACTAAGTCCCAAGGCTATTTGATTTGGGAGTTTTCTGTTTCTTTCTTTTCTTCACCTTCACGTGTCTTAAAATAACCTCACATCCTGAAATTAATGAGAAATACTTAGAAGATCTTCTCTCTTGGTTTGCTGTTTAGGGTGAGCCCTGAGATATTGTATTATATTAACAATATGCTCAAGCAAACACTGTCATGACACAGTATTCTTAAAGACTATACGTATAATACTTCTGTCAAAAGACATTAATTCCCCTTGGTATATATTATGAGGGAAGATACAGTACCTGTCATAGAGTTTACGTTTAGAATAGGTCTGTACAGATCAGCAGGTTTGGGAACTGGTCAGGATAACAATGGAATGAGCAACCTCTGATCAAAGTAAAATAAAAATTTCACTAAGTGGGATGTCTCTGGCTCAAAAGTCTACCTCTCCCACTATTGCCATGGAATTCTAGGGAAACGGACTCTAAATCAAATTGGCTTAGCCATTTATAACACTGTCCTGTGGGAAAATCATAGACTTCTTTTGGTCTCGATTTTTCATCTATAAAATTAGGGCTTGAAAACCTAAAAATTATCTTTGGAATTATTTCTAATTAAGACTCCACAATAATTGAGACTAAAGAATATTCAAAAGACTAGATGTTTCTACAAACTTTGTAGATACTGGCCATAAATTAAGTTCTAATCGCTTAGTCAATTTAAAAGTGCTTTGGTTGACTAATATTTCTAAGTGCTATTAACACTTCTATCTTTAATCATGTGTTACCTAATACAAGCTATCTCTATTTCACAAAAATGTACACAGACCACAGTTAAAGTTCACAGCTTCTAACTAGTTTGAATATTTGGAAATCTTGAATGTAAATATGATTGCACTGCTTTTTCACTGGCAAATGTTCCTTAGAAATGCCTGATCTATTAATGATATGCCTAGATATACTGAGACAGTGTATTTTTATATATCTGTCAATAAAGTTAGCTTTAAATTATTTAATTTTATTTCCCCTAATAGTCCCTAAAAGCAAGTATAACT